TCTACTTTTCCTTTCATTGTCATTATTATTATTATTATTATTATTATTATTATTATTATTATTATTATTATTATTATTATTATTATTATTATTTATTTATTTATTTTTTTTTGTTTCAATTTGGTTACATGGTTCACTGAATAGTGAGTGTAGGGATGCTGACCACGCCCCATTCATATCTGTTTTCCAGACAGCCCAAGCATGGTTTTCATTTCAGAACTATTCTCTCTCTCAAAACTTACTCCCAAAATAAGCTAGACCAGATGGGAGTTGCTTTCGTTTTCCTTGAAATATTAAAATGTTCGAGATCTAAACTTAACAAACATGTGGAAATCATTCACATGTGGATGTCATAAGATTCTCGTTTTTAGAACAAACGATCAAGTTGTTATGCATCAGGCTAATTAAATGTGGTGGCTTTTTGTACAGAGAAAAACTGGAATTTGATGGTTCCAGGGTTCTCAAGTGAAGAAAAGAAACACGGTTCTGATAATGTAAGCTTTTATTTTCATGTATTCTTAGTTTTGTATATCATTTATAAATCAAGAAATGAGGCCTTGTTGTGGCTTCAACTCTAACAATCAGTTAAAAACTTTGTATAGCAGATTGAATGATTGATAAGGTTACTAATTAACATTTCATACTGATATTTGCTTAATTGCATCAAATAATGCATTTTGAAATTAGAAATTTTCAAACTCCACACATCCCAAATTGAAAGGTTAAACATGGCTTTGCCTCTGGTGAATCTGTTGATGGTGCCTCATCCAAGTCCTTGGTTAGCAATTAATGTTATATTTGACTCTTGATTGAAATGACTTGCAGCCACCAAGTGATGCCCACAAGAAGCGTCTGGAAGTTGTAAGTTCGCTTTCTTTGTAACGAACATGGATATCTAAAATAAAATAACACCCCCACCCCCCCCAGAAGCTTACTCTAACTACGGGAAAGTTAAATCTATCCCTTCATACACAAATGGCTCTTTGATAATTGTTAAATGAAATGAAGGGTTTTTAATACCTCAAGTTGCAATTTTGAAAGAGAAATTGAGTGCATGCTTGGATACAAGTTAATAAAAAAAAAAA